AATTCACTAAATTTCTTACTGGCTTTTAGCATTTTCGTCCATATTTCTATCAAAAAACATGCAAAATAAATCAGTTTTCTTTAGAGATTCACCTCTACTCTGCAATTGCACAATTATTGAGTCACAAACAACACGGACGGTCTCAACGGTGATCACAGAATCATAGAAGATTAGGATTGGAAGAGACCTCAGGAGGTCATTTAGTCCAACCCCCTGCTCAAAGCGGGACCAACGCCAGAAAGGGCTTTGTCAAGCCGGTCCTTTAAAACCTTTAATGATAGAGATTCCACCACCTCCCTAGGTAACCCATTCCAGTGCTTCACCACCCTCCTCCTTCTCTTTCCCTTTTAAACTGATTTCATTGTCTCTCACTACATCGAATATTAACTTCCTGCTTTTTTTACGCTTCTTATCAGATATATCAGAGGAACCTATATTTTCTGTTAATGTTAGTGCCTCTGCTTCCATGGAGCTATAGTCATTTCAAACTTCCATAACAAAACTTTTCACTGAGGCTAACAATTGTGCAGTATTCAATAAATTTGTATCGATCTTTTGCAACGATTTGCTGATGGCATTAATTCTTTGAAGTAAACGGTTCAACAAAAGAGTAAAACCAGCAATATCATACTTTTCAAACTTTTCTGCTAAGGATTTTGCTTCCGTTTTTGCATGGTTTTTTTTTTCAGAATTTGATGTGGCAATGTCTAATAAGGTTTTCTTTATATCATCCTAGTTCATTTTCAAAGCCAAAACAGCATCTGAACGAGCAGACCACCTGATATCACAAATTCTTTTGACTGTCAAATGTTTTTCATTTGCCTGCTCCAAGCATGATTGTAGCATACTCCACCGATGTGTGGAAACCGAAAAAAAGGCATACACGTTTTGAACAACGTGAAAAACGTGTGTAGCTCCCTCACAAGATGTGGCTGCAGTGTTGCAGATTAAATTTAAGGAATGGCTGAAACATGGTATGAATAAAGCAGAGGGGCTTCCATTGTTCAGTCTTTCTGTAGACCTGAATATTTTCCTGCCATATTTGTGGTGTTATCAAAGCTCTGCCCATGACAATTTTTGATGTCCAACCCTAAGTTTGCAATGATTTCCAAAACAGATGTCTCTAGACATTCAAAAGTGTGGGACTTTAGCTGGCCAAAACAAAGAAATTGCTCTACAACTTCACAATTGCCGGTCACATATCTTAAAATTAATGTTAATTGGTCTACATGACTCACATCTGGTGTTGAATCGACTATTATGGAATAATACTTGGCATTCTTTACTTCATCAGTGGATTGGTTTCTGAGCCTCTTTGCCATTATAATGATGAATTCATTGTAGGTTTGGTGTTTTTAAAAGTTGGTCTTCCCTGAGCCACAATACTGAATTTTTCAAATGGTCTTTGAGAAAATCATCAAATTCACTAAAATATTCAAGGCAGGTTAAAAAATTACCTTTTCTATTTGACAGTGATGACTCATCATGTCCTCTTAGAGGTAGTCCCAAAGAAGACAGTAGTTTGACTGTGGCAACATGTCTCAGCACTTTCCTCCAATAAGAACGCTCCGTTTCAAAGTGAGCCAATAAACAATCAATTCTTCCAGATAATTTACACCTTTGAGCAAATTTACACATAGCATTAATATGAGCTTTGGAAGTTTCATGATCAGCAATATGTGTTGCAACACTTCTCCAATTAGAGTGCCCATCAACGAATGTTTGTTTTCCTTTACTATGGTCAGGGAAAAATTTGCAAACGTAACAGTAGACTGCCTTAGTGGCTTCAGAAAAAAATCAACCAAATTCTCATTTCTGTCATCATTTTTCTTCATCCTCAGAAAATGTGATTCATAAAGACCTCTAAATTGCTTTCCTCTTGCAACCTCATACTTTTTTCTCAAATTTTCCATATTACCTACATTTTTCGGTTTATTTACTAAGAAATATTCTATCATATCCAGTGAAATAGATTTTGGCCATAATGCAATGTCTTCAGGGTAGGTTTCTTCCCTTACTTTGACAAAATTGCCAATATTTTGTACTTCCATTGTCACTTCAGAGTCCATTTGTTCAACTTTTGCAGTCATTGTGGTATCCCCACAACTCAGTAAGTGAAGAGAAATTCAGATGTTTCCTCGTCCATACTTTTTGATGAACGTCCACTATTCAATACTTCAAGCTTTTTAAAATAAGATGACAAACTGTCTTTTTGCTTCACTTTGTCTTCTTGCCTTGCCTTAAATTTTTTGCATTTTTGACTGCCAGACTCAAGTATTGCTTCATTATTGCTAAAAAAACCCCTTTTTTAGGCAGATTAAAAATGTCTGAAAGAGCAGGGACATAGACACGGGTGGGCCGTGGACCACCCAATTAGGTTTAACACAGTTAATCCCGCATTTTTACCAGGCTCCGTAAAAAATCAGATGCCTTAGTTACCATAAATCCAACTTATGCAGGGCTCAGAGAGCCTTAGAAACTTTCCGAAAAGACCTAAAATATTTTTGTATACCTAAATATATCCTGATTTGAGAGAGATGATATCCCATCCACGTTTAGAAGTCGGTGCTGTTACCATTGAAAAGCTAGGAATCTCCTCTTTCCAATGAATAAAGCTCCCATTTCTAGCCCGGCAGTTCCTTGAGATATGAGATTTTTAGAACTGTGACATTTATATGTACAGAAAAGCTACCACTAGTGCAGGACTGACTCTTGCCCATCTTAGGATTTGGACAGAAGTAGTTTGGGTTTGTTTTATTAAAGGGGAGAGGTGCAGGGGAGAGACTCCACATTTGGGAGAACCTGTTTTTCTGACAGATTAATTTTTTTTAAATGGTAGGCTTTTGAAGATGCTCAGGTGTTTGCAATGTTATACTAAGTCCCAGGGAGATGGACAGTGAGCAGAGGGCTGGTGTAATGGTCAAAGATGTATGACAAATGAACTGATATGACTGCAGGAACGTACTTGTAGAACTTCAACTACATGTATTTAGCTTTCAGTAAAATCTGATGACAGTAACCTCTAACTAATAACACATTAAGACCTACAGCGTAGTTTCAATAGAAAACCCAGATTGAAGCAGACATAGCAAAGTCTATATAGTACTAAGGAATGCAACCTATCAATACAATTCCAACATGTTGCATTACAACACACTATATTGCTGAAGTCTGTTAGAACCAGTTTGAAATGTTCACCCCTTGTTGATAAAGAAATGACTTGACAGCATGGGCTTCCAATATATAATACAGTGCCATAGCAGGGTTTAACTTTCAATCCTTTCCCAGAAATGACACACTTCACCAAAATAGGATGAATACCAGCACGATGGCATCGCTAAGTCGAGCACAAATTTCACCGTCAGAAATATGAGTACTGGGAGAAGGGGGTGGGAGGGAAAGACACATGCCACAAACTCTTTCAAAACCCATTAACAGCACACAACATATACAAAACACACCGAAAAAATTCCTAGGATTAGAACAACATTAATGCAGAAAAAGAAAGTTTTGAGTTGATAAGACAACCCAACAACCCAAATGCAATATTTAATTTCTTTAAAGCAATTGAATATTTAATTACAAAGCTAACAGCACAATTGTCTGCCCACAACCACAAAACTCCCTCAGAAGAAAATGCAAATGACATTTCTTTGACTTTCCCTGTGTTTAACTGTTAAAGAGAAGATGATTTTTTTTGTTGGGGGATCTGTTGTGTTGCTATCAACCTATGAAACCCAGAAACATCACTGTGTTGCTACACCATATTCTTTCAGAATTTGTATTCTTGATGAAAATTTAAACAAAGAAGATTTTCCACTATGGTTTTGATTTAGTGCTAAATATGAAACCTTTAACCTACTAAATATTTAGTATTCAAAAGCACATATGAACAGGTCTAAAAACTTGGAGTCTTCCCTTAGCCATTATGGTAAATACTGCATGGGTAGAAGTACCATTCTCAATTCCAGTCCAGCAGTACAAAGGAGATTTTTACACAAATCAATAATACAGACTGTAGCCAGACTTTAAAAAATGTAAATACCTCTTTCAAACAAAGTCCGTTCTAACAGATGGTCCCATTACAACAGCAACACAGCACCTGGTGATAAGCTTTGGAAAGGCAAGGCAAACCTTGAGGGAGGCACAAGAGTTCTTCACATAGCAAGAGGATTAAATATTAATCCTTGCAGTAGTTTAAAAAATATGTATTCGGAATAGGGTTATATACTTAAAACAGCTATATTGCTGTCTTGGTTTCTATTAGTTTGTGGGGGCTAGAGAGGACAGAAAGATTTCAGTATATTTTTCAGAACTATTCAAAATTAAGTAAATCATTGCTTAATACATAAGAGCACAGAGTTGATGGGAGAAATCGTCTGGCCCAGCTAATCTGTGCTTTTGTGTACAACTGCTGGGGGGCCAAGTGGTTTTAAATCAATGCTGTACTCCCCAAAACCCAGGACTGTTAGATACTGGGATGGGCTACAACATAAAATAGAACTGCCTGTGGTCATTCTAATAGCTTGCGCTGAGGCGATGCAGTGATATCCTGACCATGCCCCCTTCTGTCTCGTCACACCCACTATGTCAGAGGTAGGCTGACGTGGTAGATGACCTGTCTATGCCCCTGAAGAATACCCTTACACCAGGGGAATCAACTAACTGCATATGCGGCTCTATATGGCCACTTTACACTGGCAGACTAGTGCAAAGCAGCTGCAGCAGGGCCATGAATCTGGCCCATAATGTAGAAACTTATGGTACTTCCAAGTCTTTGTAGATTTTTTTTTTAAATAAGATTTTGTTACAATTCTCAGAATGATGGGATGAAAGATTAATAACAAAAAGTCCCTTTGAAATATTCCTTTCTAAACTCTGATTTTTGCTATTTTTTTAAAAATACATTCCAAAGTGTTTGTCAACACTCTAAAGCAACATTTACATTTATAAAGTAATATTTTAGATTTTTTTAAAGGTTTCCACCATGCCATCCTTACCTATGCAGCTTATCCTCCAGCATCTCCATGAATTTCACAGCATTTTCCTTCACATTTGTCTCTGCAAAATAAAAGTCAAAGTTAGGGAGTGCTGTAGCTATTTAATTTTAACTTGTCTACTCTTATTATTTACTAAGGAATCAAGATGAAGAGGTAAAATACATAGATTTATTAGTGAAAAATGTCTCTTGATTTTTTAACATCTTTTACGTCCCATCCCTTACACACTATATTATACACGTATCAATTTGAAGGTGAATTCTACTAGTTTTTTCATATTAAAATTAGAATCTGAATGTTTACCCTTACCTTACCTAAAGCACATATTAAATTAATGTGTTTAATTTATTAGTATTGGTAAATTCTGACCTCAGCTGTGTAATGCAGATGGTGGGGAGAGAAGAAAGAGGGCACAGGTAGATTCTTCTCATCACGTAAAACAATTGGGCTAGATCCTCCCATTACCACAGGAGACTCCTGCCAGACGCGGGTCCCAACTACTGTGCAAGTCGATGCTCGAGATCCCTTTAAAACTTAATTAAATATATGGGACTAAACTGAAGCTGTCCCAAGCTACCAAACAATGTTAATGGAAATTAAATTGTTCCCGATCCACACAATGTTCTAAGCTCCAGTATACACTAGGACCTGGACATTACCAAATGTGTGTGAGGATATACATATGTCCACCTATATCCTAGTGACTTCAAATCTGAAGAGTTTGCTGCATGTCCTTATTGCACATGAAGGAAGGAATATTTTTAGGCTTCATTTCAATGAATGTTATGCAAATTTATAATGAACTGCACTAAAAATGTCCTTTTTTGAATATTCATATGCCCCAACCTGGACAAGATGCGAAAGAGATATAAAATCCTTTCTTGAAGGACAGAGGCATCCAGTGGATCAACATTTCCATACGGTGGCAAAGACAGTTCTTCATTTTTGTCTCTAAGCAAAGTTACTGTCTCTAGGTCAGATGGGAATATTTAACTTCTTAAACTGATAATGTAAACTATATCAATTCTTGATAGACTATTCCTCCAAATACGCTACAGGGTTGTACACTTTGTTGCTTCTGTAGGCCAAGCTCATTGCACACACCAGGGGCTCCTGGCATCCCTTCATTTTCCCAACAATTTGTAACATGTTAAATTTATTTATTTTCTTTCTGTCTCAGAGAGAAGTCACTGGGGGGGGGGGGGAGGGAGGCAACATTTTAAGTCCATTGGAAGGACGGACAGAGCTGAAAGGTGGTGGGTGTTGTTAGGCTGGAAGGTGTTAACAGCTGCCATCAAACAAGTTCTGTAATTTACAGACAATTACAGACATATGTAAAGATGATGGGTGTGGTAACCAGATATCAGAAGCTGTGTTGTACCCCCACCCCATTTTTTCCTTCCAGTTTTCCAGTTCCCTGAAAATCAATACAGTTCTGCCCACTGATACCTAGAAGATTCCCTGAATTTTGGGAATTGATTAGATGTGGTGTTCAAAAGTTATCAGGTTACAACTAGGGTGACCAGACAGCAAGTGTGAAAAATTGGGATGGGGGGTAATAGATGCCTATAGAAGAAAAAGCCCCCCAAAATCAGGACCGTCCCTATAAAATCGGGACATCTGGTCACCCTAGTTACAACCAAACAGGCAGACAAGCAGATAAATTCCATAAAGTTGAGTGAAAGGCCTCACTTGGCTCAGCCAATCAGATATGATTGTTTCTATAGATGATACTCTTGCAAAGCCTCACATTGCTCTCCTTGGCACTGTCAATTCAAATTCCCCTTCAAGAGGTGCTATACAACGCAACAACATGCTATGATCCAGAAGGATCAAGAAAGGCTACATGTAAAAAACTGCATCTGTTTATATTTACAGTTCTGCATCTCTGTCAGCAAAGTGCAAGGGAACGTTATACAAATAGATAATATAAAGGGTTGCAATGGTGATGGAGGCCAATGCACAGTTTCTCTACCTCATAACAAAGAGAATTTTAGATCAAAGTTGTTAGAATAGGCAACACTGTACTATACTATAAAGCTTGTAAAAAGCATCTAGTTTTTTAAATACTTCTAATTCCTATTTTTCCTGAAAGGTCTATCTGCGAAGCCCAAGAGACCTTGGAAGACTGTAAGCCTTCCTTTAATCACATACCACAGTTTTAGCTAAAAGAAAACCTCATTTTTCAAACTATTTTTATCTGTCAGTTACAAATGTTTTGACGTACGGTTTGACATGTACTTTGAGAAAGAACAGCTTTAATGTGTATGGCTGCAATGCTCTTCGTTCAGTTACCATTGCTTTCATACCCTTGAACACGAAATATTACAACTTATTCCCCGATATAAATGTCAAAAGATATTAATTTTTGGAGAAGTATGAGAAAGGGTGGAGAATCTGTTTCACACTTACTTTATTTCTAACTAATATAGTGACTTCCTCTCTTACTTTGAAGATAAACCCTACTTCCAACTTCTCCTGCTGTGCCTGTCATATTTTAATTGGACATGATCTGATACAGTAATTTTCGCTTTCACAGTTCAGGCCTGCCCCTACCTGTTATTTTACAATGCCCTTGAAACACACAGCTTAATAAATCAGCATTATTCAATGACAAAAAGTAACATACAAGAGAACATCACTAGTCCAAAGTAGGCCAGTTAAATGCTAACACTCTTTTGAAAATATCCTCACATCACTATACCACGTACACTCCTGCCAAATGTTTTAACTAAATTAAGAAGAATGCAAACTTTCTGTGGCTCTCACCTCTCACAGCAGACTAGTGTTGCCTCCTTGCTTTCTTGTGCATGTAACTGAAAGAGTTGTGACCTGGAGAGTTATTTTTTTTAAAAAAACTACTTAAAAATTTTATTTGTGCTACTTTCCTGATAATGAATTTCAAAAAGCACCAGGGCAAGTACATGAATATTTCAGACTGTTGGACCATCCATTAGAAATACAAGACAAGCAGCAGATTTCTAGATTTTGTTTTAATTTAATAAAAACCAGTCATCACCATTTAGTGCAAGAATACTCAAGCCAAAATCTATGCATGAGTCTCTTAAATGTAGTTCAGAAAGTACTTAATGATGGCAGAGAAAATAATTTATGAGACCGTGTACTGCATGAACATGTAAAATGTTTTATTTTTAAATTAAAGCAAACAGGGCCTATTTTTCAACCAATGCTCCGGGGATTGATGTGCTTCACTGTTATTGCCAATTAAGGGGACAAATAGTGTAAATCTTCATAGAAGAATAGACCTCAGTGTATTTGCTGAGACCAGAAACAGGATTTTCCCATAGAATCTTAATCTGGAGAAAAATGATTCAGCATGATTTGTGTCATTACACAAAGTAAAACTAGTTCCCCTTGTTTATTTCCCCTCCTACTGTTCTTGTAAAGTGCTGGAAATGGCTTACCTTGATTATCACTACAAAAGGTCCCCCCACACTCTCCTGCTGGTAATAGCTCACCTTTCCTGATCACTCTTGTTACAGTCTGTATGGTAACACCCATGGTTTCATGTTCTCTGTGTATATAAAATCTCCCCACTATATTTTCCACTGTATGCATCCGATGAAGTGAGCTGTAGCTCACGAAAGCTTATGCTCTAATAAATGTGTTAGTCTCTAAGGTGCCACAAGTACTCCTTTTCATTTTTGTTGTGTCATTACTATATCACAGTTTCTTCTTCCTCCTGGGGCCTGATAGCCTGAGTCCAGTCTTACAAACAATCAGGGTCAGGCACAGCTGATTCTCAATGGTATACTGCCGTTCTCCTTTCCAACCACCATACAACATCTTCCAGTAAAATAAAGGAAACCTTAATTTTGGCACAGTTAGGAATAATCCATATTCTAGATCTAGGATTGATATAGTACTGGAGTTTGGAGGTAAGGACAGAATGTGAAGAGCCTTGCTTGCACTATGTGGTGCAAGCCCATACAATTAGTCTCTCCCTTTCATAAGCATTACATTCCTTCCCAAGGGTTTTTTGGGCCAACTGAAACAAAACTCCCACTGACTTTACTGAGAATTTTGTTTGGCAAAGGTCTGAGGGTAAAATTCAGTTCTCAGTTATACTGGGGCGAATCTGAAGTAAATGCATTTATTTCAGTGGACCTACCTGGATGAAACAGAGAACAGAATTATGTGTTAAGTAAGCACAGCAGGATTTGGCTTTTAAAATGTAAAAAGGAATTTTTAAAAAACGAAGCAGCACACGATTAGCAGTTTTGATCTTCTCTATTATAGTGGAAGGTCTGCTGAATGAAATGTGTGAAGTCATATTCTGAAAACTGTGGCAAAGCTTCAGTGTATTTGAAGGTTAACTTGAAAAGCCAGTCAAACTTCAAGAGACTACATTTCAACTCCTCAAACCATATGTCAAGCTGATTTATAAAGCCACAATAACAGTAGCAAGATTTTGGATTGCAAAGCAGCAAGGAATTTTTCACCCCATGGACACAGGAGGGAAAATCCAAAAGATTATGCTCTGTGGGAAGAAGCACTGAGTCTAACCAGTGCATTTCTATGGGAAGCATTAGTAGAAGGCAAACCCCCTATGGAAAAGGCAAGAATTAAGAAAGGAAAATGGTGAATTATACAGGAGAAAGAAAATATTCCAGAAAGGCTGTCTTTTTTTCCAGGCTTAAAGGTTATTTTCCAGTAACAATAATAAGAGTTAAAAAGAAAACAAACAGATGTTTGGAAGGGCTTTAAATCCTCAGGTTTTAAGGTATAAATCAATCTTACTTGATGGGATTTAAAAAGAAACTTCAACTTGGGACAGATCATTTCAAAATTTCATAGTGCAGGTTTTCTTCCTCTGAAGCATCTTGCACTGGCCACTGTTGGGGATAGGACACTGCCTTAAATGGACCACAGCTTTGAACCAGTATGGCTCCTCCTTTTTTTGGAAATGACAGTTAAGGGATCTAGACTGAGAAATCTCCACCACCATATAATCTTTCCTGTACTCTCAAATTAACCATTTTACACCTCAGAACCAACCTTAACTTTCCCCTCTAAAAACTATGCAAAAATATGTTAAAA